TATATGAAGTAATGGGTTAAGAAAACGTCTTTCAACGTTTGTCCATTTATCCTGCTACTGTCTATATCATCAGCTGGATAAAGCTTTGCCGGATAAACTTATCTATCTCCAGTCATTACGTCATATGATTACGTCACGTGTTTAGCAGCAAAACAAAACTACATATAGATGCTATTTTATCGGGGAAAAAGAAGAATGAAACCATCTAATTATTATAAAAACATGATTAAAGCAGGATAAATCAAATACATGGTTGATGTCGGGATGGAGAAAGGTTTATCTGGTTCGCTTCGAAAGTGAATCTTGGTTCGCTAAAGCTTGCCAGGATACACTTTCTCGCTCACCGGATAAACCTTCTCCATCCCGACATCAACCATGTATTTTCTATATATCAATAATATGGTTCCAACAACAGAGAGTGATAAAACAAACCAATATATTAACACTGATAATCAGATTAATTAATTTTTAAGTGGGCCGAGTTGACTATGGAGTTGATCCGTGCCGCGTTGGAATAGGGCCGAGCTGACTCGGGGCCGAGTATGTTAGGCTGAGCGACACTTATTCCAATCAAAATACATATAATTAGACAATATATCAGTAAACTTAAGTGTGCTATACCCCTAGATCTACACAAATGTCTGCTGGCTGGTCGGCTAAAACAAAATTAAGAACGAAACTCATCGGAGGTTGAGCTACATACCGCCGATTTCTTAAAAAACAGACTGACATGGCCTACAGTACCTATAAGCATTAATAAAAACTAACATACTTTTCATCGATGCTTGAAATAACCACATTCTAATATAAAATATCAAAACAAGCTTACCTCGATCAAAGCTCTTCGATTTTCCAGGATTTTCCATCAACTCGACATCGGGAACGAAACGATGTCGAAAGACTGCCACTGATATTTGGACAATATTTCATCCACACGATACGTTGTCACAGATAAATAAAAAGTTGGTATCGTAGAGGGATATATCTATGCTCATGAATAAAAGGAAGAACTACAACTTGGATTAATTAATGAGCCTTTTAAACGAGGTTAACACACAATTGTACTAGAAAGTCTTACATTTCTCACGGCCCCGTCCGACAACTAACTGCGCATGCGCAGAACGTAAAGTCTTACGTTTCTCACGGGTCTGACAAAATTCACGCCACAACCGGTATAGGTGTACACACGCTGGTACAAAACTGAAATATATCTTCATGAAGAACTTATTTATCCCTTATTGCGTACATTATATATTATTTATGAAACACATCATATGGAACTGAATTGCTTTAATTAATTAATTGAAGACGCCGCGACATTAATGTATCATTTGTCCGAATTTTCAAGCTTTGATGATGATCCCACCACATGATTTAAGCAATGACTGCTTAATTTTAAAAGATAAACCATTAATTTAATTTGGGTACTATGAGAAACTTCTTCAAATTGACGATATATCCTTTTTTGTACTTAATTTTCGCTAGACAAGCTGTCCGAATAGGGTACATCGCCGGTCATGTATCTTTTTTTCAGCGTAAAATATCAACTAAATCCAATATGCAGAGATCTGCTGAGGACGCGATTTTCCGCCATTGACGCTAAAAATGAGAATGGCGCAGGAAAATCGGCAGCCAGACTAATATCGTATGTAAACAAAACTGCCCGTTAGGTTATTTATGCACCCAGTCAAAACTGGTACCAACAGATTCCCCTGTAATTACGCATATTCTCGGGGTGTATCCAGTTCCCTATAGCTTTTTTCCACGTTATTCCTACTTACCCACTTTCCTTTCCCACACAGATACGCATTTCTATGTACCGTTAAAATTAATCCAAAAAAAACAAAATCATAAATCTACTTAATATTTAAAATGATTGATTGGTAAACTGAAAAAAATGTTTGCTATTTTTATGACTGTCATTTACAGTATAATTCGACAGGTGTTGGAATTAATTTTTCCCTAAGGTCATTCCAGTTCACCGATGAAGCGTAAAAAAAGATTGTCTATTTCGTCATTAGAATATTTGACAAGATTTTACAAGGGTGATTAACCACCCAAGGGCCAACATTGTGCATGATCAAAAGGTCTGTCGGCACAGAGCCTACAAGGAGCAATCAAAAATCGTCAGTACACAGTGTGAGAGGAACATTTGGTGCAAATTAGGAACAATTAAAATGGACAATGCACAGTATTAGACATAAGTAGTAAGAACCAGCAATTGTGTGAATAAATTATGCAAATTAGATTTTTGAGCAGCCAATAAAAATGTTTTGCCTGCAGTTCATATTAGGCTACGATTACGATGCGCAGCATCATACGTTTACAGACATGTTAACAATTTACTTTTCAAAAGAGTTGCTTATATTTTTGAAATGTGTACATCAATTATAACATATGTTTACACCTTTAAATTTGAAAGTCAGAATCAAACTGCAAAAATTTAATTCCATGTACTATTAAGAACACGCGTATATATATACGTTTTAGTAGGATTTTTATAATAATGATAATTATCGCCGTTCAATAAATAACAGCCAATTATTCGTTGGTGCGTTTGTTTATTTAATTGCATGATTTGATTGTGAAACTTTGTTAAATAATAACATGTGTATTTATTAAATCTGTGAAATATTGTTTAATTACATTAAGATGAGACTTTAATGAATATAGCATTGTTTGGAGTAACGGGCATCACTGGGTTGAAGTGGTGCGACCGGTAGACGTTGATTTTTTTTTTTGTTTCTTTATTTATTCATTCTTTTTATATTGTTACGTATTTTGAACCATAAAAAATCTCCTCTACACCTCCTGTGAAAATTAAATTGTCTGGTCAATACTTAATTATATTAATATTTCCCTACGATTCAACTAGATTTATCATAAATCTAAAGATGTGGGGAAATGACATCACGCGCACCTGTTTTTATACGGCCAATACACAAACATGGCCGCGCTTACTGATTTGTAGAAATCGGTGATTTAGCGATTTAAATTTTGTTATCATTCGTTTAATATTATTATTTGGCGGCAGAAAATTTGCAGATTTATTATTTATAGTATTCTTTTTCTGAAATCAAGTTTTTATTCTAACCTTGTCTTTCCCTTTAATAAAAAAAATAAAGATTTTATGAATATTGTTTTTTGTGTTTTATGTTCTATTTTTATACTGAGTTTTTACGTGTACTACTCTTTCTTTTATAAAATTGTAAAATAAATTTTAAGAATTCAATTGTTACCGACGTTTGTCAATGAAAATTTGAAGTTGCTTAATAAAAACACACATCTTTAGATCAAAACGAAATGTTACATTCAATGAAAAATATAAAAAAATACATTTAAATCTTTTGACCAAACCAAAAAATCATTAAAATAATTTTCAAGAATTCCTGTGAATATATTTGTTTAGTCGACCGAACCAAAAAATAGGATAAAAATCCCGTTCAAACATTCCTGTGTTAGATATTTGTTTGGTCGCCGAACAAAAACAAATACGATAAATAATCATGTATTAAAGTTCCTGTAAAAGACATTTTTGCTGGTCAATCGAAACAAAATTGCTTTACAAAAGCACATTTCATTAAATTAAAAAAGAATTTTAATCATTTTTTTCTGTTTGGTCCACCGGACAATATTAATTATAAAGATTTTTTGACATGTTATATGGCCCTATATAAACGGTTGTTTGGAAACATAACCCGAGCCGCTAGGCAAGGATATATTGCAAACAACCCTTTATATACAGCCATATAACCTGTCAAAAATATTTCTAGCGAATTTAAAATGCGGCAAGCATCATTTTTTTCTGAGTAAAGTGAAATTTTTTCATAAATCAACAGCAGCCGTGTATATTATTAGTTATAAAGATTTTTGACAGGTTATATGGCCCTATATAAACGGCTATTTGTAAATATAACCCGAGCCGTTAGGCGAGGGTTATATTGCAAAAAGCCGTTTATATACGGCCATATAACCTGTCAACAATCTTTACAACGAATTTATAATACAGCACGCATCATTTATAGTGAGAAAAGTAAGATTTCTTCTTAAATCGACAGCAGCCGTGTACGAGGGGTTATCCAAAAATTCGTGGACTTTTTATATATCTTTTGCATGTCAACGTGTATTGTAATGAAATTTTATCAACATCATTGAAGAATATTATCAACACGTTTTGAAACGAACAGTTAACTGCGTCAATAAATAATGGTTTTATATTGCTTTTAAATAAGCACATACACGGCACCCGGCGCACGGTAGAAAAACGCAGTTAGTCATCGTATATTTGTTTGCTAAAAAACTACTAATTAATGTAGAAAACCCGCTAAACATCGCATATTTCTTCTATGATGTCATTTAAGTAATTCATTAAAATTATGGACGTCATGTCCGTTAATTTTTGTTGAAATCGCCAGAAACTCCTGACGACGATTTTGTTTACAACAGGAAAATGACGGACACGCAGAAATTAGAAAATAGCGTGATCATAAAATCTTGTTGTAATTTGGGAATGACTTCAACAAAAACATTTGAAAGAAAAAAAACAGCAGGCGAACAGAGAAAATAAAATTTTACTATCATTAGTGTTTAAGTAGCATTAAAATTAGTGATGGAAATTACATTGTGAAGCAGTAGTGGTTATTGAATGCGTAACGTTGAAGCCTAAGTTTTACGTTAAATAGTATGACGTTGACGTCAATAACCTTTTGGAGTGCGCCGCTGTCGCCGACATGTGTTTATGTAAAATTAAATATTGTTGTAATATAAGAAGCTACTAACATGAATTTTTATGTGTTTATTTCTTATTTATTCTTCTAAGCAATGTAAGAATTTCAAATCAATATCTCAAATATATTTTACGCAACAAGGAAAGTCCACGAACTTTTGGATAACCCCTCGTATGTAAAACTATATAAACGTATAATACTGCACGTTTGTAACGTCGCGTTTCATTTGATAATCGTGACGTTTATATAGTTTTATATACACGTCTTCTGTCGATTCATGAAGAGATCTTACTGTTTCCCTAAAGAATTATGCTTGCTGTATTATAAATTCGTTATATCCGGTTATATGGCCCTATATAAACGGCTGTTTGCAATATAACCCTCGCCTAGCGGCTCTGGTTATTTTTTCAATTAGCCGTTTATATAGGGCCATATAACCTGTCAACAATCTTTATAATTAATAATATAAACGTCACGATGATCCAATGAAAAGCGGTGTTACAAACGTGCAGTATTATAAAATGTCATATACAGGAATTCTAATCAGTTTGTTTTTCTTCGGTCTGCTGAACACAGTTTCAATGATTTTTTTTTCTAATGGTATGTGCTGATGACAAGAACCGTCGAGAACAACACATAAAAAACGAAGAAAAAAATCACATATTGATCAAAATTAAATTATGATTTATAATACAGTAAACATGAAACACCTACTTCATGCTCATCGTTAGATATATATACCGAATAGATATCTGTCTCAGTTTCACACTGTCACCTTTGGTAATTTACACACATGCACAGTGCATTAACTGGAAGTGAATGTATTTTTTAAGTATCTGCATCACAAACACTCGGCAATTTGATTTATACTGTGAGGGGTGTCTCGATGCTCTTTCCATTACAAAGCAATTAATAATATTATTGAAATTAGCTCTAAAGTTAACAAATACATTGTGTTTGATAGATCTAGTCCAATTTCGACAAAGTATGGCAGTGTAAGAATCTATACATTTAGGTTCGCATATACACTTCTTATATTATTAGAATCGACTTATAACGTTCATTTTGAATAGAAACAATAAAATGCAACACAACATTCAATTAATCATATAAATTATTTTCAATGGCTGTTTATAAATTGTATGTATTATATAATTATGTCAGTTTGACAGATGGAAGAAGTATGCAAACTTTTGTTATATAACAATAGAGAGAAAAGAACTGACACAATTGAAGACTACAGCAGGCTTTGTTTGGTTGAGCCGCTGGAAAGTGCAATGTATCCCTGCCATCGACTAAAGCAGAATTCAACATTTAAACATGAAAATGGTGAAACTTTGAATTTAGAAACATCCGCAGATGTGTTCATACGGCGGTTATCATAGAACCTTCAATGTGACACGGACGTGACATTCCATGGCAAGTGGCGTATGGTCCCTAAGTTAACGAATATCCCTAAACGAGCAATTAATGGGCGAATTAAATCAACTTGAATTTTGATTGGGAATCAAAGCTTATTAAGCTTGCATATCACAGACTAGACGTCAAAAGACAAATTTAGGAAAAAATTCACCATGTCTTCAGGTTGAATAATAGTATACAAGTAGAAATACACGAACTAAGAGAAGGTCGAATAGAAGGTACCAAAGATACCACAAACATTCACGTACAACAATAATATGCTAACTCTTTTCAATTTTAAAGCTCTTCAGTTAAAAAGACCGTCTCTATGTTCAATGTTCTATGTTAACTAAAATAATAATAACATTATAATAAGTCAAGTCAAGTAACGGCTCAAACTTTGAGCTCTTTCGCCCCAAATTTGAACTCCACTTTCACTGTCTTCCTCATAGTAGAATCACTGTTATATCCGAAATCTACACCAACCTTGCCTATATATTTACAACCCTTTTCTGTTGTATGAACAGGATCTACGGAATCAGATATGAAAATGAAAAAAAAAAGTTTTTCTGTCCCTATTATTTTGTGGATAATATTCCTTTGAAGAAATCCATTCATTTATTGGAACGGGTTTCCCGATAATAACATGCTGAATACATTGTTTGCCATTATCATATTATCTAATTCATATTTCTAGTCCTCCTTGTGTTTGTTTGGAACAAATTCCATTGTCATTGCAATTCCATAAGAATGCCTCAAAACCATTGGCGTTACAATCTTTTCATTCTGACCGAAAAGAACAGCACCAATCAATACGGCTAGGTCTGGTAAATGTGGCCTCATAACAGGAATATTACGAGATCGGAGATTATCTTTCACATATTGCATTACATAACTTGATTCAGCAAATCCACCAACCAAGATAATTGAGTTTACTGAAAGATTGGACATATCTGCAAAAACCTCTTCATTCATGTATTTCAGTAAGCCATCGATGGTGCTTTGGACAAACCTTTGGATTATTTTAGCTTCCAAGAATAACCGCCCTGTCATAAATTCAATTTTTCCTAAACATGCCTTTTCTTCAAGAATTTCATCGACATCTTTGCCTTCTGCACGTTCCCATAACTGTCGGAGTGGATCTGGGAGTTTGATTGGTATTTGATCATCTGACCATTTCATCTGTTAAAACAATCCATAGATGTGAAAGGAGATAAAACAAAATATCACAATTGTTTCATGCAATAAAATTAGACTAAGTATTTGATGACAGCGTTCTCCTAAAGATAAGTCTCAAGATTACAATCACTGTAATAAATTTATTTTGTATGCTGAGAACACTTTTGAAGTTATATCATCAAATACGCAGTTTCTACATTTGAATAATTTTGCATGTTGACGAAAAGTCAATATAATATAATAATATGATTATCATTTTACCTCTCTTTTTCTGCTTTCAAAATCCATTTGCAAGTCTTGGTAGTCAAATACATGCTTTTCAACGAATGTTCTGACTGTTTCTGCTCCTATCAATTCTACCAGAAACATTTCAAATTTTTCATTGACCTTTGAACAACCCCAAGGACATCCGGATGATTTGTAAACCTGTTGACTTGTCTTGTCTTCATTTATTCTAACCGTTGTTATATCAACAGTGTCACCTTAAACATGAAAAAACCATCATTTTACAGTCTTATTATAATTACAATTTAGATATGATGTTGCTTAGTAGAATTGTATGCAATAATGCAGTTATGAAAAATGAAGGTAGAGACCATAAAAATGTCTGCCTTAACTTAAATTAATTAAGCACAAAACACAAACACAGTTTTTTAATAGGCAAGGCTTACGCTTGTTTATTATTTGAGCAGTGTGTACAAGTACATGTTATTGTAAAACTTCGTTTTCACACAGACAAATATTCATTATCATATGAAAAACCATATACATATAATAAGATAAACAATTTCACTTGTATAATATCGTATTGTGAATATCATTACAAACTATATGACCCAAGGTATGATAACTCAGGTTAAACAATCAGCCCATTATAAGGAATGTTAAAAGACTCTGAAAAACTGTTCCTATCAAACCAGGGTTAGGTAAAATATACCTATATAGCTTGTTTACAATTAATTTACCAACATAAACGATTGTATTACTGTAACTTATAATTTTTTATATAAAATCTGTTTTATGTCTTATGTTTTCGATTTATCACAAATATTTACTGCAAAGCCATATGCAAAAACTGGCTGAAATACAATTTCAATTTGAATATTTGAATTTGAATAAAATTGTCCTTCACAATCGAAACCGAGCGTAGAACTGATTTCCTCGAGCATTTTTACCGCCTAAAACCGCATGACCAATCACTGATCATGTGATCAGTGATGCGCGCACTAGTTTATGTGCGACATAACGTTGAGACATACGTTTTGCGGGTATACTATGTAACGCGCAGAACTTAAAAGTCTTAACCTTATTTAGCAAAAAACACAAACACAGTTTTGCAATGGGCAAGGTTAACGATATAACCTTTACAAATGTAAGAGGATATTCAAATTCGAATTATTCTTAACAAGACAGCATACAATTACAGTTTTAACTGTTAATTAACAAAAAGCTCTTTCTTTAAAAATCATCTAGTATGTAACCGTCCTTGGCCAAATCAGATTTACAGCGACCATGTCGCTTAAAACACCCATCTGAAATACCTTCTGCATTACCAGCGGTGGTAGTACAGCTTGCTCTCAGTGAATGCGTTCCTAAATGCAAATCTGGTGCCACAAGCTTCAACTTAGAGACAATGCACTCTTTTGCACGAGTGTAGCTCCACTTTTTATTTTGATGAATCAGGAAACATTTTTTACGTGACCTACTGGCAGACCTAAAAATGTTACAATCAGAATTAAACTTCTCTTTGATGCAGTTTAAATACCTTTGTAATATAGTTACCGGACAGGCAGAAGTTTGAAATAAGAACTTCTTTGCCACCCCTGTATATATCAGTTTTACTTTTCTTAATTGACAAAGACATTCACTTTATATACTTATATCATAACGGCGTAAATTGCTGACCTCATCAAAATGCAAAAAAAACCTGCATAACTTATCAAAATCATAGTTAAATCACGGAGCACAATAACATCTGATGAATCTAAAACATGTTACACAGTTTCTGTAAGTGATCAGAACTTATAATGTCCTTCTTTGTTCTGGGTCTAGAGTTGGTACGCTTTGCACACTCTTACATAGATTATACTATAACGTTCTCTGTCGCATCTGCAAAGTCATTTATGTTATGATACCATTTAATGCCGTAAAATGCTGCTGTAATTACACTGTCTGATTAACCAATATCGATTAAATTTGATAGATACATGGCTATGTGAATGGAATTTGTGGGATGGCAAAAAATCCCTTCTGTGTAACGAAATCTCTAAACGCTTGTACTTGATATGTATATTTGTCCACTGTGTTATCCGCCCTAGAATCTAATATATGTACAGCCATTATGTCTATTACACATTTTTCGTCGTTTATTTCTACACCGGCATCATGAAACTTCCTTTTGAGTGTTTGTCTCAAGCCAGAACCTGTAAGCATAATTCTGAATTAATAATTCTTAATAACTAAGAACATATTACAAACTAAACTGTCGCTTCTGACGAGTCACAATGCTATCATCCTGATACTTAAAAAATCCGTTGCTTCCTTTTCCCTTTGTCACCGCACCTATCACCGGTAAAACATGATAATGATCTTTCACAAACGTTTTAAAACTACCATTATCGTCTTTTAGTAATGGCCAAAATGCTGATGATTTCCACTCAGGAATTACTAAAGTACCTTTACATTTTTCCTTTTCTAACTTATCTATACACTAGATAACCATACTAGGCGGTGGAACTAACCTATTGTTGTCGTTAGACCAATTGTGTGTTAAACAATTAACTGCTTCCGTACCTGGTACCCACCATCTTGAATTAAACCTTTTATAGTTGTTATTGTAATGTGTAGAAACATATCAATAGTACACGGACCCCATTTTACATTTTAATATCGACATACATCTTTATTTACAGACCAGTCATCACTATCAAATATGATAAACATGATCAACAAGGAAAGGCGGCGTTCAATGAACGCAGCCCCCATATGACCCAGCAACAAGAACCAACGGCAAGGAGCCCTTATTCAAAATAAATTTGACATTCATATTGTCTGTGTAAAATATTACGTTATTTTTTTGAAAAAAATGTAAATTGCTTCTCAACACTCTATGAATTGCCTCAAGTTCAGGCCAAGTTGAACTTTTTTGCTTTCACTTTCGGTCAAAGAACCTGTACATTTGGAACCATTTAAACAACCACCCTGTACATTTGGAACCATTTAAACAACCACCCGTATTGAATACAGTGCTCGCTTCCGGGAGCAACAGTGCACTAGACTCACTTCCGGGAGTACTTTTCTGTAAACAACCCTGATAATCTCGCTTACATCCGGGATCTACCATTTCGATCACATCCACTTCCAATAAGAACCTTAAAATGCGTTCAAAACTACAGCCTGGATTTTCTTCCATATATCATTTCCAAAACGGTACTACACTTTCATGGTATATAAGAATACATGTACCCTTTGCATTCTCATTTTTAGGAACTGACCGATTTTCTTTTGATATATAACCTCCGTATTCGACGGAGCTAGCGTCGGTTGTCATATTCAGACTAGATGTAAAACATGTCTTGCTCACCCTTTGTATTCAAAATACGTGCATTATCGAGCCAAAATGCAGTTCATTTAAAGCTTTCTCACTTACCATAACAGAAGCATTCAAACGTGCGCGTGCTACAATACACTAGTATAGATACCTGGTTCTCCGACTATCTTTCCTTCAACGCTTTGAAGAGAAATTATTTGCCCTACAACGGAAGCTAATCACTTACCGTGTAGTGTAACAAATCTAAAATATCTCTTGATAATTGAAAAGTGGCTTATTTTAATGACAATTCTAAACGAGCAATTCTTTCATACAATTTGTATTATAATCAATTTTATGACCAAACTAAGACACTAATCTAGATGGAGACTAACAACACTTGTTATCAGCAAACAAAAACCCGAATTCGAGCAAAGAACTTCGCACAAAATTACTAGATATGTTTCGAGTTTGTAATCAGTGTGACCACCTACTCAATCATCTAAAGACATGATAACTTTAACGTCTTTATGACCCAATGATCTCCAATATTTAATAAAAGTGTTTTTTGTAAATATATGTCCGGCGGTGGATATTCCGAATGTCAATGAGTTATATACATATTATTTTTCACTCCCATTTTCAATATAACAAAAACCTAAATATTTAGTATGTCTAACGCGCAATACTTAATATAAATAACGCTGTTTTCGGTGCAAGGGTGCAAATGAGATGCTGCCCTTTGTATTTGCTTCCGTTGGAATTTCCTCAGTATAAATGAAAGCCATTCAATCATACATGCCCACAAACACACAATTACATCATGCACGTACACATGTGACTTTAACTTACACTGACACCAGCCTAATGTAGTTGAAAGTAATAAAAACGAATTTTGGAAATGGGAGTGCCAAATGAGATTTTACATTAAATGAAACGTAAACGGTTTGGTTAAGAAAATTCACGAACAATAAACTACAGATTACAGCAGTAGTCAATCTTTCACTCTAACAGTACACTTGTAACAATTGCCAAAGATGTACTATTTAAAAGGGAAAAAGTGGGCAAACAAATTAAATGTCAGCAATTCTATATTTATAAACAAAAAAGAGAACATCATAACGTGTTCCAGGAATGCTATGCACATAATCAATTGATCAAGAGCTCATTGCAAATGAAAGGTAATGCGGTGAAATGAACCACATAACTTACGTCTCATGTGTACAATCATCAGTGTTTGACCAGGAGCAGCAATATTTGTCCTTTTATTATTGCCAGTGGCGAATTCCATTTTCTCAAGAGGAACTTTCGTGCAGTATAAAGCAGCACATTCAGACTCAAAAGCTATTGACAAGTTTTTCCCATTTATTCCAGCCTGGTAAATAGACGAAAATAGTTACCTATCTATTTAAGCTAAAGTAAATACATTTACTCGATCTTATCAATTTTGCTTGATCATAATCTCTTATAATACACATCATATGAAATATATAGTAAGATAAAACGTATACAGCAATTTTAATATCTAATCTTCTGATTTATGCTCAAGCCCTTAGATAATTACTTTTTCTGCCGCCTCCTGCATCACGTGTTTAGCCGAGTCATTCCATATAGCAGGAACAGGTATAACCCATTTGGTTACTTCTTCTTGATATACATAACCGTCTTCTCGTAGTTTATTTATTGCTTCATCCTTCAGATACTCTATTGTTTTTGCCAGTACCTCAACTGCTGGTAAATGTTTATCATTTGCAGCTTCCATTGGAGTATCTACTGTAAGTTCCTACAAATGGACACAAACTGCAATTGAACATAAAAAACAGACTTCCAAAGAAAATAAATCTTAACGGAAGCTAAATATCTAATGCAGTCATAATTTAGAACAATTTGTGTTAACTCTCTTATATCTAAGAGAGTTCATCAAATTGGAACATGGATACTGCTTGACGGAACAGACTCAATCAAACAGAGTGTGCAATATTTAGGTTGCACTGCTTGGCTAAATAGTAGATCTTCGGAAAGTTGTGTTTTACTGCTTCCGTGGGATCACTTTTCTCTCAAATTTATCTTATTAACACAATGATGCAAATTATCATTTTTTTACATGCATGCTCTTAATTATTATTTCTATTTTGATTGATCACTTGATATATTCATACCTCCCCATTGTAGAGTCGCATCTTAACAAAACGAAAGAAATACCAGTCCTTCCAGTCTTTTGGTCTCTTTCTCTCAGGAAGCGACTCGTTTTTCCTGAACTGAAAAGCAGCTTTGTACCCAAACTCGGCAATGCTTTTGTCAGGTTTAAGAAGTATACAACACGGCGTCTTTCGTGGGAAAAATCCGCTTGATGACCAAGTTGTTGGAAACTTGATGCTTTCGAGGCAGTTTGCATTTTCATAGTCGGATCTCCATTGCAAGGCATAAAGACAACCATATGTCCCAATATCGATTGCTATTACTAACCGGGGAGTGATTTCTTCATCCTGTTCAAAATAAATATAACTGCGTAAATCATATTAATGTATTTCATTTTGCACTGTGAATTTATTAGTATACAGTAATATGTAGTTTCTCTACATTTGTTTACCAATGAATTTTCTTTTTTGCTAAGATAGTCATGATTGTGGAATACACACAGCTGACTTTGAAACAATTTGTTTTAATATGCAACATTCTACTATCATTGCGCTATTTTTTATAATGTGTACAACGGTGCGATATCATACACGTTCGTAAAGGCCAATTGATAATCAAGTATATTATGATTTAGTGATAGGTAACCGTATTATTCAAAATCAAGTACATGTATAAGCAATTTTGATCCATCTTGCATTCGATTTCAGGCATAAATATAAACTGTATGATAAAACCAATAACCATTAAATCATGTTTTATATATTGACTAGTTATTGAGCATTGTCACTACTTTTGACTGTCACTTAAAAAACGTTACATTTCAAGACAAACTTCATTAAAAATATTTGTAAAGTATTGTAACTTACACAATGAATCGTAATGGTGTCTGCATCTACAGGGTTATCTCGACTTGGCCTTGTATCAATCCCTGTTGCATTATCTGTCATTTTAATTTCTTGAAAAAAAAAAAAGAAATTCCACTGTAAAAGTCAGTTCCGATTTAAACAATTCAGTTCAAGTTTTACAAAGACCTGTGCTCTTTTTAAAAGAGAATCTTGATTCCTCAATATTGGAAATTACTTTTTTCTTAACCAAAAGTGGAAAACCAAATCAGGTAAAAATAGCTCACACGTCGTACAGTTGAAATACTGAAAGTATTCTCCTAACCTGCTTTCCTTTTTTACTTTTTAGCTCACCTGTCACAAAGTGACAGGGTGAGCTTTTGTGATCGCTTTTCGTCCGGCGTCCGTCCGTCCGTAAACATTTTCGTTAAATGACATCTCCTCATAAACCGCTGAGACAATTTCATCCAAACTTCACTGGAATGTTCCATTGGTGGTCACCTTTAAAAATTGTTCAAAGAATTTAATGCCATGCAGAACTCTGGTTGCCATGGCAACCGATAGAAAAAACTTAAAATATCTGCTTTTAAAGAACCCAAAAAGCTAGAGCTAAGATATTTAGCATGAAACAACTTCTAATGGATGTCTACCAAATTTCTTCAAATAAAAGCCCTAGGGTCAAAATTGGCCCCGGCCCAAGGGGTGATTGGTTTTCCCTATATGCATATAGTAAAAACTTAATAAAATCTTCTTTTAAAGAACCCAAAGAGCTAAAGCTAAGATATTTAGCATGAAACATGTTCTAATGGGTGTCTACCAAGTTTGTTTAAATAAAAGCCCTAGGGTCAAAATTGGCCCCGCCCCGGGGGTCATTGATTTTCCCTATATGCATATAGTAAAAACTTATAAAATCTTCTTTTAAAGAACCAAAAGAGCTAGATCTAAGATATTTAGCATGAAACATCTTCTTATGAATGTCTATCAAGTTTGTTAAAATAAAAGCCCTAGGGTCAAAATTGGCCCTGCCCCAGGGGGTCATTGATTTTCCCTATATGCATATAGTAAAAACTTATAAAATCTTCTTTTAAAGAACCCAAAGAGCTTGAGCTAAGATATTTAGCATGAAACATCTTCTTATGAGTGTCTATCAAGTTTGTTCAAATAAAAGCCCTGGGGTCAAAATTGGTCCCGCCCCAGGGGGTCATTGATTTTCCCTATAATCATGCATATAGTAAAAATTTTAAATTAAAAATTATTTGAAAAAACCAAATAGCTAGAGTTTAGATACTAAGCATGAAACATCTTCTAGTGAGTGTCTAGTACAAAGTTTTTTTCAAATAAAAGCCCTTGGGTCAAAATTGGCCCTGCCCCGGGGGTCATTGATTTTATTTATGTGTAAAGCAAAAACTTATAAAATCTTCTTTGAAAAAACCCAAATAGCTAGAGTTAAGATATTTAGCATGAATCATCTTCTAGTTAGTGTCTTCAAAGTTTGTTCAAATAAAGCCCTAGGGTCAAAATTGGCCCCGCCCCGGGGGACATTGATTTTCCCTATATGTGTATAGCAAAAACTTAAAAATCTTTAAAAAAAAACCCGAATAGCTAGAGTTTAGATATCAAGCACGAAACATCTTCTAGTGAGTGTCTCCAAAGTTTGTTCAAATAAAAACCCTGGGGTCAAAACTGGCCCCTCCCTAGGGGTGTCATTGCTTTTAACTATATTAGTAGTTAAAACTAAAAAAATTTTTTTTTAAAAACTCAACGAGCTAGACCTCAGATGTTTAGTGTGAAATATCTTCTAATGGGTGTCTACCAAGTTTGTTCAAATAAAAGCCCTGGGGTTTAAACTGGCCCCGCTCTGGGGGCCTATATACAGGTGAGCGACTTCAGGGCCATCATGGCCCTCTTGTTTATGATTCAACATTAATTTTTTTTTTTTTTTAAATCTTGTGCATAATATAAGAAACATTATTAATGTATTTTACGTTACACTGTCCAATATATATACATATTGGCATAAATGATATTTAAACATCTACTCTTTGTTTCAATTTGATTTTAAAATAACATTATATATTGTAGTTGCAAGTAAAGTGTGAGTTAAGTTTATAGTGAACTATCATTGATCAAATATTAATACTAGCATATAAGTTAAAGCATTACAAAGTAAATCCGTCTTTGCTGCATAGTTGTTTTTATTGACTTAGAGTGAATAATAACATGAAGTAAGGTTCTAAATCGAAATCATGCCGTAACTAATGATTCGTCTGCTCAACGTGACTGGAATGTACGAACAATTAAATACATTTACTCAATCTAATCTATTTTTCTGAATCATAATTTCTTTATAAACATCATATGAATAGATAAAACGTACAATTGATACGATATCGTTATTTGGATACGTGTGTTTACAATCATTTAACGTTATGGGAAGTCTTCCAAATTTTCATTGTCAAGGTAAGATAACCGTTTTTATCTTGACATGTACCATGTACATATATTATATCTATTTAAATTTTCACAATGATCTGATTTACCGCATGAAATCTGAAACATATACTGTGTATATAGAATTGTATGTTACACGCTTCTGCTTTAGGACATTCATAACGTGTGGTTTTGTTTGCTCTTACAAATCTATGGCTTTTTATAACTACTTGCAGAGGATTCCCCAAATCAATACACCCAAACTCAGCAATTTGCTATACAGAATGCAATCTTATATCACGTTGATTTGAAACAGAGGTAATTAAAAAGCGATTCTTAATACTTCCAGAAATTAGCAAAAGCAATGAAGCGTCTGGATCTCAATATACAAGTTATCATCGGTATACAATCATCAGATTTGAACCTTTTTGACGAGACGAATTTTATGAGCCTAACAAACCTCTACCAGACAGGAAACGCACTTATCAGGAAGTGCAAAAGCACCTTCGACAAGTACAGACCAAGGACTAAATCCGCATAAACATGTTTACGATAATTGTGATAGCCCTTCAAGGAACAGAGAAAGAAGAAATCATACCACCTCCGCATGGTGTTGGAATGCGAGACATGGGAAATTAGTCTCTAAGATTCAATGAGGCATACAACTATAGGCGAAGACACACCTTTTATACATATAAACGTGAACATAAGAGTAAAGGAAGGTCATCTCTAGTAGTAGCAAATACACATGGTAATGAAAATCGAGGGACTCATTAAAGCATAGCACTTACCTCTAAAACATATGTCGATTAAATGCCAAAAATCAACACTAATTCCAAAATATCTGCCAGTCATGTAAAGTGTTCAAATGTAAATCTCCCTCGGAATTCAAGTTCAAGCTATAAAAGTGAACATCTTGAGGCATATACAAGAGATGTACGCTACTTAAAGGAAGAAGAAGGGATAGGAGTGTAAAATTATCTATCAGAACTAATGCACATAGAACTAAAGATATAAAAAGGTATACAGACAATACTTACGGCAATGGAGCTGATGAATGCCAAACTTACGTAATGTAACTTTCGTAATGCCTCTTACAAGCCAAATTTGCATAATAATGTAAGGTCTGAAATTGTTTAGACAATACGCGGGAAAAATTGTCATTGGAAGTCGGACGAAACATTCGAACAATGTTATAACAATGCATATGAATTGTTGGTTGTTTATTTTTGCTGTGTCTTATAATCAATACATTTATAATGCTGCAAGTTTGTAACGTCGCTTTTCATTGGATAATCGTGACGTTTATATATACACGACTGTTGTCGATTTATAAAGAAATATCACTTTATTCCTCTAACTAGAAATGTGTCATCATGCCACGGATGCCCCCGCATGCAGCCAAAATTTCAGATGTTATAATATTTAGTTCCAAATTTGTTTGCACAAATTATTTTTTTCATTTTAAGTTCAAAGCCCTTAAAACTTTTCAACGTTTACACAAACCATTTTCATACAATGTTCAAGGCACTGAAATTATTCAGTCTTAACCTTTTGAAAATAGCATATTTCATATTTGTAGCCAAAATAATGGCTACATACATTTCCACAAAAGTATGAGTGCTGAAACTGAAAGTTCAAATTTTTTTCCAATATTCAAGAAAGATAAGTTTGTCTAAAATCATTGAACCACAACCAAATTCAAACTTAAACTGCTTATTCCTAAGATGTATCTATATTATTTTCAAAGTGAAAGGGACATAACTCTGCCAAAAAATCATCGAACCATGACCAAATTCCAACTTGACCTGCCCATTCCTTTGACATATCCATATGTCAAATTTGAGTTGAATATGTAACACTGTTGGGTAGATAATGAACAGAAACTGTAAATTTCATATTATTTTCAAAGTGAAAGGGGCATTACTCTGCCAAAAATCATTGAACCATGACCAAATTCGAACTTGGCCTGGGCATTCCAAAAACATATCCATATGTGAAATTTGAGTTGAATGTGTTGTACTGTTGGGGAGATAATAAACAAAAACTGAAAATTTCATATTATTTTCAAAGTAAAAGGAGCATAACTCTGCCAAAAATCATCGAACCATGACCAAATTCAGACTTGACCTGTATTTTCTCATGACATATCCATATGTCAAATTTGAGTTGAATGTGTTGTACCGTTGGGGAGATAATGAACGGAAACTGAAAATTTCATATTATTTTCAAAGTAAAAGGGGCATAACTCTGCCAAAAATCATCGAACCATGACCAAATTCGAACTTGACCTGTATTTTCTTCATGACATATCCATATGTCAAATTTGATTTGAATGTGTTGTACCGTTGGGGAGATAATGAACGGAAACTGAAAATTTCATATTATTTTCAAAGTAAAAGGGGCATAACTCTGCCAAAAATCATCGAACCATGACCAAATTCAAACTTGACCTGTAGTTTCTCATGACATATCCATATGTCAAATTTGATTTGAATGTGTTGTACCGTTGGGGAGATAATGAACGGAAACTGAAAATTTCATATTATTTTCAAAGTAAAAGGGGCATAACTCTGCCAAAAATCATCGAACCATGACCAAATTCGAACTTGACCTGTATTTTCTCATGACATATCCATATGTCAAATTTGATTTGAATGTCTTGTACCGTTGGGGAGATAATGAACGGAAACTGAAAATTTCATATTATTTTCAAAGTAAAAGGGGCATAACTCTGCCAAAAATCATCGAACCATGACCAAATTCGAACTTGACCTGTATTTTCTCATGACATATCCATATGCCAAATTTGAGTTGAATATGTGCAACCGTTACTAAGATAATGAACGGAAACTGATGATGACGGAATGACAGAATGACGGAAGGACGGAATGACGGAAGGACGGAATGACGGAAGGACGGAAGGACGGAACAGGGTAACACTATATGCCCCGGCCATTACATGGCGGGGGCATAAAAATGATGCTTGCTGTATTATAAATTCGTTATAAATATTTCTGACAGGTTGTATG